ACGGGGGGGGGGGGGGGGGGGGGGGGGTGAGCCTTTCTTTTCTTCCCGTTTTTCCTTATTTAGATCTAATTTTCCGATCAATAAATCGGACATAAGAAAGTATGTATATTTCTTAAAATTCTTACAATTTTAATCAAGTAATTGCAATGGCGAAATTTAGGCGAATTAGATCACGCGTTTATGAATATCAAAATATCACCGGGTCAAGCCGTGCTGACTCGTACGCACATGTAGGTATCGGACGTCCGGGAAAAAAAAGAGCATTCATTAACTCAAATCAAGATGGCTGCACAACAAATAATGTTAACGAGAAGTCTTTCTCGGATTAAACATAAGCGGAATAGCCGTCGATATTAGAGACTGAAGCTTTCGGTCTAACTCTTGATATACTCTCGGATCTCTTCTGCCATGATATGAGCTATCCCAAACATTCATTAAAAAAAAGATGTCGTATCGTGGGAAAGGCCAATTAGACACCTGGTTCTTGGTTTCTGCACTTCTCTCATCGGATAACTTTTCTCTCCGCATGCGCAATCCCAAACATTCCCCGTAGCACATTGTCTCGTGTATTTATGCATGGAATGAAAAGAGCATTCATTCACGCTTTTGTGATGTAATAATCAAGTGATTGTGACGTCAGTGGCAAGCGCGCATCGGTATGTTTGAGGATGCGCAGGCTCAGCAAGCGTATAAATACAGCATGCTGTGCGCAGTTCTATCGTGATAATAACAAACTAAAAGGAAATATCACGATATGCATCGGGGATTTAGCGAGTTGATCAAAGTTGAGGAAAAAATCATGATAGAGATGAATACAAATCACGATGTTTCTCACGATAAAAACACGATAAAACCCGTCTACAATCACGCTAACCTCCTATCGTGAAACACGATCCCGCATGCCCAATAACTTCTGGGCGGTATTGTAAATCTTCTTTGCACTGGATTAATGACTATAATGAGGTAGCGTTTTAATCATAATAAGTGGAGAAGATTGAGGTAAATATGGGGTGATTAATACATAGCTTTAGGAAACAATTCTTCTGTGGTTTCCTTTGAATGGGAATCATATGACTTCCCAAATCTTTGCTGGTCATTGTTTTATGTTTTTTTTTTTCTTCTTTTCCAAGCAAAATTACTCGTGATAGTGTAGATATTTGCTCTTAATAAAGCGTGCTTCAAGGTTTTATTGAAATAGAGAGAGATAGAGAGCGTCAGTGACTGGCACAGCATTGCTCTGTAAATTTATTGAATCATAACATGTTCTTCCATTGTCAATGTTTAACTATTGTGGGTTTAATTGTGTCATAATCTACAATGTAGCGCTCTCTCTCTCTCTCTCTCTCTCTGTCTGTCTGGCTATCTGTCTCTCTCTCTGTCTCTCTGGCTATCTGTCTCTCTCTCCGTCTCGGTATCTCCCCCTCTCTCTTCCTCTCTATCGCTCTCCCTTTCTCTCTCAGTCTCTTTAATATCTATTCCTCTCATTCTATTTCTCTCAAGTTGTCTGCCTTATCCTGTAACATATAGCAGGAAGTGCCTTTAAATAATGATCCCACTCATAATGAAGTAAAGTGATACAGGCATGGTCTCTCAATAGAAAGACATTATGCTTTAATAAGTGGCTAGTAATCATACTCACACAGCCATTTAACAAACCCTGAAACAAAGCTTCTTTCACTTCCTTGTCAAAATTTAGCTATTTTTTTTTTTTTTTTTTAATTTTGTGCTTTTTAGTGTTTCTATTTTATTATTTGTATCATTACGTTTTAGTTTGCTTCGTACAATAAGCCAGCTCATAGAAACAATCTGTGCATGGGCAAATAAAGGCCTTTGTATCAAAATTGTAAAACCCAACAAGACGAATATTGGATACAATGCTAAAACAAGATAATAATGTAATCATTATTCATTTGTGCACCAACAGTACGTTCCATGGAACACAGGTGGAAGTATTCTTCCCTTGAGGGCAATCAATAAGTGTTCATGAAGGATGTCCATGATTGTGGCAGTGATTATTCTAAAAGCACAAAGAGGCAGGGCTCAAATTAATTTGTTGTCCACGGGGGCTCTTCCCCCGAAAAAAGAGCCCCTGTGAGCCTTCTCACGGGGGCTCTTTTTTATACAAATATCCATTGAATTGGTACCTACATGTATGATACTCCTCAATTATTTGCTATTTCATCATTATCATTTCAATCAGTATTTTCCCTCTTACAAATTTACAAGCTACATACATGTAGCTGTTACTGGCCTGTGTATATAATATATACGCATACAACACTGAAGTTTATGATGTCTTTAACGTGACATATCTTCTTCTCCCCTTGCAAACGAAAAAGAAAACATGGTCATTAAAAGGGATTAAGCGACAAATAATGATTGTGATTCAAATTGATGCGAATATTTGTTTGAATAAGCACTATTATTCACCGAATCATTTTTGTAAAAACAACTTTTACAAATCTCAGCCATGCTTACTGAGTTGAGACGTTCCATTCAATTTAAAATACCCATTACATAATACACTTCTCCTAATCTCAAAGTGATCTTACAGCACAGTGGCAGAATTGCATGGCTGAGATTTGTAAAAGTCGTTTTTACAAAGAAGATTCTGGTGAAAAGCATTGCATATTCAAAAAAATCCTTGCACAATTTGAATCACAATGATTATTTGTTGCATGGTCCTTTTATTAAATAACCTTGTTTTCTGTTTTGTTTGCAGAGGGAGAAGAAGCTATGTCACGTTAAGAAATCATAAAGATCAGTTGAATTATGCGTATATACATATGATACCAGAACAAATGTTGATTATCAGAATGTCATTTTGGAATACCTCTATACAAATACCACATTGTCTTTAGCCCGTATTAGTATTAGTATGATCCAATATAAAGCTATTATTCTTTATTTAATTCAGTATAATGCTTTTCCTCAAAAATAGTTTTGCTATTTTTTTTAGGGTTGAGACGCTAAGAAATGGTTTCAAATGTACATTACATGAACCCTGAACCATTACAAAATGATGGTGGTTCTCTCTCTCTCTCTTGATTTTAATCATGCATTATCAACTACATATAAAGCAGCAACCAAAAATTTAGGGTTATCTGAGATAGGTGAAAGTAAGAGTTAAAAAGAAAGTCATGCTAAAACTGCGCTTCACTTCCCCCCGCCCCCTGAAAAAAATAAAATAGGTAATAGTAGTCCTCCTCTCCAGAATCCCCCTCCCCCCCCCCCCCCCCCGCTTTAATATCACATTTTCACTTGGCAGCCCAAGGGGGCCGGGGGGGGGGGGGGGAGGGATGGGAGGAGGGGGTTAAACCCCCTAACCCCCCCCCCGCCATAGATCTGCCCATGTTATCATATCATTCCACGCAGGGGCGGCGACCCCGGGGGGGGGGGGGGGGGGGGGGGGATGGGGGGACACGTCCCCCCCCTCAATTTTTTTAGGGGGGGATCATCCCCCTCTGGAAATTTGAAAAAGTGCAAAACAAATTGTATAGCATATACTGAATAATGACTGCAACACACTTTTAGGCTCTGGAAGGCCCAAGATTGCAGCGTTTAGACTAATAAAATTGCAAAAAAAATCTCGCTCGGTCGCTACGCTCCCTCGCATAACATCCTCGTAAAAAAATTCGCATTTCGTCTCCCCCCGGTCATTAACAGAAATCGCCGCCCCTGATTCCACGACATTTTGGTCTTCCTCTTCTCCTCAAAAGGGACTTTTAGATTTGCGTGGACGTGGACGTGGACGTGTTACGTCCTTTTAAGGCACTGGCAATCACATGTGACGTCCTTTTAAGCACTGGCAGTGCCTTAAAAGGAGGTCACACGTTGCAGTCCACGTTCTCATCGTGCAAATCTAAAAGTCCCTAATATTGATTTACTGGTCGAGGTTCATTATTTGCTGACAACAAAAAACTTCTCCAGGCCATGACCATGTTTCTGCCCTTGTCTGATCGCCTCCAGCTCCAGCAGACATGGCGCGGCAGCGTGCACACGCACCGCTACTAACGGCGCACTGCACTGCGAGCTGAATCGGTAATAGGCCTACTCATAAAACGAGAAATCTTGCACGCTAATCTTAGTTCCGTTTCATTGGTTTAAGGTTTGAAAATTGAAACTCAATATTGTGTTAAAGTTATAACAGAAAAGATTATCTTTATTTTATAATTCCACCGGGGCGATTTTTAATTTTGCAATCGCCCCCGTGAGCAACCTGACGGGGGCGATTTTGTAGCTCACGGGGGCGAATCGCCCACCGCCCCCGTGTATTTTGAGCGCTGCAAAGAGGGATTACTCCATTTGTTAAAGATCTGTGGTTATTTGGGGTCATGTGTACCTTGTGCTAGCTACAAGCTGGTCCATTATTTATTTTGGCATATATATTTTATTCAGTTCAGCAAGATACAGAAAATAGGCCTGTTTACTTAATGTGCATTCCAAATTTTGCATGTTTCTCTCAAGGACCCCTGGTTGCTACATGTACGTGTACATGTAATTCATCTGCATAAATCAATGGAAAGCTTATAAAAGCCATAGATTACAATCAAATATATGCTATTTTAGTGTCCGTCAGAGAAGTAGCAACTCTCTGAACACTCAAAATCGAAGGCCTTGAAAAATAGATTTCGTTGACTCGATTACATCTTATGTGGAGTACGCATATTCACAATGACTTTTCATTAATTAAGCATGGCTAATCGCCTCAGCTATATACATGTACATGTAGGTGAGCCGATTGGATCCACATGTATCACTATAATTGTGGAAAATTTGACCTTGTTGACCTGTAATTTGGAGGAGTGGGGAAAATGAGCTTTTTTCCCGTTATATTCATATTCTACGTTTATTCGGCTTTCCATCAATATGAAGTTATGTTTTCATCGGATAGGGTCTTTAGCTCTATCTAATGACTGAAATTGATACCTTACATGTACATGCATTTTTTTCCTGCATTTTTCTAATTTTTATAACCCTCCCTTTTTTTATTTCCACAGAATGATGACGAGGTGTGCACACTGTGTAAAGATGGTATGGCAGAGGCCAATGCAATCCTTTCAAACGTTACACTCCAGGTGAAATACCACATATAATATTTTTCATATAGTTACAATATGCATGATGTTAATTTGGTTTAATTCAACCATTTTCTATCCATAGTTTGAGATTTGTTTCACTTGTGGATGATGGGTAATGGAAGTACAAGATTTTTTTTTATTTTACAGCAACCCATTTATCATTCTCAATTTCAAACAGGATTTACTTTCATGTTTTGTAAGTTTATTCTGATATGATTTTGTTTATGCATGAACAATATGACTTTTTAAATTTTCATATGTTTACACACTACATGTAGATTTTTAATGTACCATGTACTGTAATTGAATGGGGCTATAATGAAAGCCAAATTTCAACATTGATAATGTTATTGGAGAAAGCAGGTTTAAAAAACAGAACTGCAATGTAATGTACACAAATTACCTTCGTTATTATTTGAATTATCATCATTATCATTTGAATTATCCTCATCATTATCATTATGGTCATTATCATTTGAATTATCCTCATCATTATCATTATCGTCATTATCCTTATACTCCTCATCATCCTCATCATCATCATCATCATCATTTAAAATTTGTTTGTTATCATTATTAGTAAAGATGTCATACATAACCCCCAAATTCCACTCTCTCTCTGTCTTTTGCAGCAAGACTTTGAGAACATGCTCCTTCAGTTCTGCCCACTCCTCTCCGAGATCTTCCCAAACTGCGCTAATTTCATCCAAGATGAGATTCCCGTCGTCATCCAGTTTCTCCTCACGTACCTTGTAAGTAAACCCACACCAACCTATCAATTCCCGTCTCTCTTTGCAGCAAGACGTGGAGAACGCTATCTTGTGGCTTTGTCCATTCCTGGATCTCGTTATCCCGGATTGTCCGGAAGTCGTGGAGGATAACTTCCCGGCCATCGTCAAACTTTTGCTCTCTTATGTCGTAAGTGGTAAACTTGCTGAAAGGTAATCACGTCGTCACGTGCTCTTCATCTTTAAAAACAAAAATTGCTTGAGATCATGCTGAAAATGTGAATGAAACTCAGAGATGGATATTTTTAAGGCAGTGAAAATGAAAGAAATAGTCTTTGTAGTTTAATAGCAAATGTTAGATCTTATCTTAATGTAGATGACTTCACTGAAAGTGAGTATCTTTCGAGCACTGGAAATGTTTTGATTTTGTATGCAAAATGATATATGAGGGTTCTTACTAAAAATCCTCACCAATTGAGACATGATGAGTTAGGTACATGCAGCTAACCACTTGATAACATTTGAAATAGAGAAGTCTAAACTGCCTTACATATATATATAACTTTTTATAGCTTACTGTGACCACACATACACTATGTTCTATTATTCTTTACATAATTTGTTCTATTTTAATTGAGATTGAGTGTTAATTTTCTTCTATTCTCTCTTTTCTCTCTCTCTCCCCATATTGAAAAAAAAATAAACAGACCCCAGAATCATGCAGTGAGATTGGACTATGTCCTGGGACAGTGGAGCTCCAAAACCTCCTTGTTCAGCTCAAGAAAATGGTAGGTTTAAAACTTCATTCCGTTGGAAAAGATGGGGAAAGGAAAGGAGCAGAACAGGAAGAGAATTGCATCGTTGCAAGGGAATTTCCGTTTGGTCTACAACCAGTTCGTCTAATACCCAATTGGTCTATTCTCAAATGGTCTACACCTAGCCCGTCTATTATCCACTTTGTCTAGTAATCATTTCGCCTATTTATCAGTTGGTCCAATAACCATTTAGGCTAATTTCCATTTGGTCTAATTTCCATATGGTGTAATCATGCTAGTATTGGCCTTTATGCAGGCAGCCAATGAATTGTCTATAGTTATCACTAGCAGCCCTGGAATTTTAAGGGTGGGGGACACAAACTGCTGAAAGAAAAAGTACTTGTCAGGTGACAAAAATCTGTTACATGTAATTTCACCAGCTCTCAATACTTGCTCACTGATCGTAATTAAGCTTATCTGTCATATCTTACACTTATACATTTAGATGCACATACTTTGCAAAATTTGAACAAAGCATTAATGTGTTATTCAGGTATATGATTGTGATCATGCCTAGTTGCTAATAGGGTATGTTCATACCTATCATTATGCTAATCTGTCATGTGCATGCATGTGTACACAGAGTATTAAATGTAACCTTTGCTTCTCTGTTTAAAGGCACTGAGCAAATGTACAAGAAATGACTAACTATCACGACATGTAGGATGTTTATTACACCTAGAATTGCTGTTATATACAGCTGTAACATTCACAGACTTTAAATCCATATTTTTACTGCTAGGTGCTGCATAACTTTTTTTTGGCTGTGATGAAAAATCAATCCAAATGAATTGTTACAGGCAACAAAGCAGAGTAAAGCAAACACCGCTTGGAATATCCTCCTTCTCCTAATATTTCTTCTTCTATATTTTTTTTTACAGAAAAATCGTGAAGGTGTAGATCTGTGCTCTACATGCAAGACTACCATGACTACCATTGACAGCATGTTGAGCAATTCAGCAATCCAGGTCAGAGGATTTTTTTAATTTCATAAAACCAATTCACCAACCCTACAAGGGTTTTAGTTCTTCTGCGATAAGTTTGCAGATTTTTTTCTAACTCTGTCCTTTAAGCCTTAGTGCATTAGTACATCAGTAGATAGCACATTCATGAAAATTTGTGTAATGGGTTACGGTGCAGCATTCAAAACTAATAATAATAATTATGTCTATATTAAGAAAACTTGTTCTATAACCCTCTTTCAGAACTACTCCAGCAAGATAAACAAACAGTTCTTTTCTGAACTGCTTTTGTGGGTTTGACTTCATGGAAGCTCTAATACATGTATGCTCTGCTTGAGCTGTATTAATGTAATTTTCTGCACTTTATATCTTGGGGAAAAACCTTTTATAAATCCAACTTTTATCAATATTATTATTAATAATAAAGTAGTAAAAGTTGTAGAAGTAGCAGTAGAATTGTTGTTATTAGTAGTATTATTCTTTGCAATGTTGATTTTCTTGTTCTTGTTCCTGTTCCATTTCCTCTTTCTCTTCCTCTTCTTCTTCTTCCTCCTCTACAGTACTTCCCCTTCTTCTTCTCCTTTTATTTGCTATCATTGTATTGTTGTTGTTTTTAGTAGTAGTAGTAGTATTATCACCATCATCATTATATTCTTCCTTTTATTATCATTATGAATTTTTATCATTCTCATAATCACTCTCTAGTCCGCTATTGTCCTGGGGTTGGACCAATTTTGTAGTTCTCTCGGTCCTGCTGCTCCTTTCTGCGTCTATGCAGTGAACCATTACACCAAGGAGATCATTGCTACACTCGTTACATACTTGGTAGGTTTTATAATAATGATAATAATGGAGGCTTCTTCTTAAATAGCATGTTGTGATGTTCCTAGCGCTCAAGCATTATTACCCCGGTCATAGCCGATCTTTAGTTAATATTTTTCACTTCAAATAATGTAAATTCTGTAGATTTGTGACCATGATTTATACTTCCCTTGAGAAACCAATGCCAGGAATGTTTAGAGGAGCTAGTGGCATGAACAGCTTGCCATAGTTAGGTCCAACTGAAAGTCGATCTTAGTTTGACTTCCATGTATATTAAGTAAGGAATATTCCTAAATGACTATTCTGTTTCTTTGTTTACGTATATAGTTTATGTTACATGCATATAATGTAGTATAGTAAAAAAACACACAAAAAAACAGTTTTTAAAATTCTTGCCAAAGACAGGGAACCAGACTCAACTAGCACTTGTGCTAACTTCTGGTACCCCCTTTAACTACAAAAGTGTACACATAATATTTTATTCCATTTATATACGACATACTTTGTAAAACAATATTTATATTATTCATGTGTTATGTTATCGATCTTGTGTTATATTGTTATATTTTATGTAATCATGCTTGATACATTATGTTTTACTTGTTATTATTTTTGTTGTTAATAAACTCAAACTCAACTCAACTAGTCCTTGTGAAAAACTCCCCTGGGTGGAGAGTGGCAAGTGTGGATTCATGCCTTGCCAAAGGACGTTAATGCCGGGCTAGGGTTTGAACCCTCAACCCTTGGAATGAGAGCCACATGAATGAACCACTACACCTCCACGACAATGATGGAAAGCAAACATTCAAATGAGACTTTATCATAGGCTTCTGTTTGCTATGTTGCAAAGTTGCCCCCGCCCCCGACACACACTCACCCAAATTGTTTAATATTATTCTAAAGAATCACCTTGTTTTTTGTTTTTTTTCTTCTTCTTTCAGAACCCAGATACCTTCTGCCATGAGTTCAGATTCTGCTCATCAGATCAAGTATGAAGATGATTGTGTTAACATTTTATATTCTCTGTGTATTTTATGTTGCATTCGTTATCGTACTGAAAAAAGCTGTTATAGATGGGACATTTCGCTATAAAGGCAAAGTGCATATAACCTTTGAAAAAGTTGATTTTAACCTCATGAATTCTATCTTATTGTGCAGAATTGCTTTAATCAAAAAGAGCAAATTGTAATGTTTCAAATGTTGAAACACAATTGTGAAGCGAAATTCTGAATTCCAAGTAACAAACATTCTTTTTATGTTCCATTCAATATGAAGGGTTAAATTTTACTGAATCAATGAGAACTTGATAGTACTACATGCCTTGCTCAATTATGGCGTGGAAAACATCCACAACAAAGCCGCTGTGATTTTTAAAACATAGTACACCTTTTAAAAGAAAAGATGCTAGTTTTGCCGTATCATATCTGACGGGCCTTTATAGCAACTTTACTGAAAATTACTCTTATTTCAGCATCGATTCCATTTGATACCAACTCTGTTTTTCACATTTCTTCTTCAAGAATGCTCATCTTGGTAGCGACATGTGCACTGATTGTACAACGTTCTTTGGAGATATCGATGGCATGCTCACAAACCAGACTGTGCAGGTCAGTGAATATCTAATGTGTAAACTTGAGTTAAATTGGATTGAAAGTGATATAAAGGGGATAAAAAAGTGTTACATTTTTAACCAGGGGAGTGTTTCACAACGATTCTAAGTTGAACTTATCTCTAAGTTGGACTTTACAATTATGGAAAGCCGTTAGCATCTTTGAAAGTATTTTGTAAAAGTTATTTTGAAAGGCATAAAATGTTGATTCAAATAATTCTTACTTTCTATTATCATGCAAGCTTTTATGTTCTTGATGTGGAATTCATGAAATGTCAAAAATACTTCAATTTTTGCTTTTGGAAATATTTAATTTCAAGGCTACAAATGGCTCTCCATAATTTTTAAGTCCAACTTAGAGTTAAGTTCGACTTAGAATCTTTGTGAAACACCCCCCTGGACTGGAATATAAATAAGAGCAACAGTAGACAGAGAAAGATGGCATAAACTTGTGATGGCCACAGCAGCGCAGCTGACGTCACCTGACTTACTGAAAGAAGAAGGACTATAAATGTAAACAAAAAATGACAGTACAAATATGTCATATACTCAATTAGAAGTTCTAAAATATAATTATTGGCAGTCATGTGCCTGGGCAACTCCACTAAAATGAAGTGCTTTCAAGGCAAATCAGAGAAACAGACCCCTATCCCCAAAAGAGATGAATGGATGAAAATACAATTTATGACAAGATTACGAGACTTATTCTCGTTAAGAGTACCATCAGATTGTGACAAATCGGTATATTTGATCATTTTTTATATTTTGATATCAATTGTCCATTTTATTGGAAGAACCTGATTGTCTCCTGCTCTAATTTAGACATTGATTTTAACAAATGGTCTGCATTTCTTTTACTTTGCCTTAAAAACATTTCAAAAGGGAATCTATGGTGAGATTGTCATACAAAAAAATAAGTATCCATATTTGTACATGTATATATAATTTCGTCAATTGCTGTCGTTGTCTTATTTAGAACATGATTCTTGCTGCTGTTGATGATATCTGTGCCGAGTTCGGAGACTTTGCTGATCAGTGTAAGAGCTATGCGGACCAGTATGGATACATCGTCTTTGATTTCCTTGCTTCACAGCTGGTGAGATGATAGAGAATTTCATCAACCTTAAGCCCCACTGTACTACTTATAGCTACTTGCGCCCTCTATATAGCAAACAATACACCTAGGCTACTTGCGCTCTCTATATAGCAAACAATACCTAGACCACAACAGCTCTACTAATTTAGACTTTTATTCAGATTTTTATAATGAAAGTACATACATTGTAAAGGAAAGTGTGTTTAACTTAAAACAAAAATATATTTTAAAAATCTTCTATTTTTGAAGGAATATGTGACGTTAGACAGGAAGCCTGGCCCAGTCTTGTAATGTTGTGATTGACGTTACCTGCTTATTTTAATGAATCAGAATCATTGTTTTGAGGGCAAATTAAAGCTGGCAATTAATTGTACTGGGTGAATACTTGACTGGTTTAGTGTTAATCACCATCACCATGCAACCGGCCCTGATATCTTCTGTATTATTCATTTTGTCCAATGTAAATGAGCAGACCTTCATCTGAGAAGAAAAAAAGTATATATCATCATACTTTTTCTGTATTTTTTCTTCTATGAAGTCTCCTCAAGAGATTTGTACCGACATCAGCTTCTGCCCAGCCACGCCAGAGACAAAGACCAAGGTAAGATCAAGGTCATGACCTTTAACCTCTTCTAACAACATTTCACTTCCTTTCCATCATCAGAGGTCGATTGGTGAGTTTGAAAGATGGTCTTTCGGGTGTCCCTGTGACAGCTGAAATGTGAATGACATCGGGTCTTTTTTTTTTTTTTAATGATGCCTTTGATGGTCATGGGATTCCCTGTGGAAAGTGCATCACTGTTTGCTTGCACCACATTACTTGTAGATCTGTATTCTGCTACAATTTAAATCCAATGCTGAATTTTAGCGTGGTCTAATGTCAATGTTAACAAAAAAAGTCTTAAGTTTTCCGTTTGTTGAACTGAAAGAGTAGAATATGGGCCGTTCATTGTAAGTGAACCAATTACCAGGTACCCATTTGCACCTGGATGAAGAAAGAGTGGCAAATGCGGATTAATGTCTTGCCAAAGGAAGTTATTGCTGGGCTGGGACTTGAACTCTCATCCTTTAGATTGAGAGTCAAGTGAATGAACCACTATACCATGGACCTCAACACCCTTCTGGCTCCCAGTAGATACGTTAAACAAGGAGCCTTTTATTTCACCCTTGACCTTTGTGTGCACTTTCAGATGGATCTGTACCATATCTTCAAGATGGTACTCAAACGACAAAGAGATATCGTGAATATAAACCAGTCCACCGCTACACCTTCAACAAATCACACTCACTCACACACAAACACCTGTACCTTCAAAAAATGATTAATGTATTATATTTTCAGCTTTCATGTCCATCGTGCACAGTAACCACACAATAGAGGGATTTTTAAATGTGCCTAATTGAAAATTGATATGCAGTTGTTTCATTCATTTTGCAGAGTAATGCAAGTTCATCAGACAATGGTTTGCCAATTGATTGTCATCGTCTTTAATGTTTTCTCTCCTCCAGTATCAAGTCTTGTATTTGAATGTTACTGCAACTGCTATTAAACCTTTGTGGTATTTTGTTTGTTTTGAGAGAGAGAGAGAGAGAGAGAGAGAGAGAGAGTCTTTTATGAAGAGAAAGCATCTGCATCTTCATCGGTTTAATCCCTTATTTGTTTTCACAGACAAGTGTTGTATGGAAATTTCACAGCAGCCGCAAAGAGCATACATGTACATTTTCCTAGATGTTCCCACAAGTCTGATTAGTTTATATTCCATTCATTGATATTTTATCTTCATTTCCATTTTTTTTAAACAGCATTGTCACAATCAGATGTATCTGTTTTACCACATTCCAGCCAAACCCTTTCTGTACTATAAAGACATGCTCTTCGGGTGTGCATTCCATTAAATCTGGCTAGTTTGCCAAGTTGATCTCTGTGTACTTGTTCATATATGGTATTTACATCATCAGTATTTTGTTCTTGTTGTTCTTTTTGTTGATTGTTCACAATGCCCATTTTTGTGTTATTTTTAAAGAAAGACTGTAGTCACGTAGTCTACTGTACCATGCATTGATAGATGGCAATTAGGGGTAGAGAAAAGTAATGGGGGGTTTAGGATTAGAGATGTGTGTGTGAGAGAATGAGAGAGCGAGATAGAAAGAGAGGAAGAGAGAGAGAGAGAGTGGGAGAGAGATAGAAAGAAACAAATTATCAGCCCCTTTTCTGCTTGAAGATTGATACAGTATAGCTGTATTGTAGTAGTAACACAAAAAATAGTTCATTGCATAATGCACATGCATTTAAGCATATTAAGCACATACATAATCATCTTACCACCACATTTGAATTTTGTAGTTATATAGTTCAAGCAATATGATTACCCATTTCATGTTAAACACATACATGTAGGTGTATCGCACATATACATCATAAAGAAAGCGAAAAGTCGTAGAAGAAAGGGATCTTTGGTAGGTCCTCTTCTACATATAGCTGTGAAGTACATGTACTATAATTTGGTCTTGTTCCATCGAAAGTGCTGCTCATACGTGTGTGAAGTCATCAATTTTACAAGACATTTCAGTTAAAAATGCCAAGTTGTGATATTTTCTTGTATCACGTCAGTCGGTTAGGATAGCATCCTGCCTGACTCGATGAATCTGAGATTTTAAGCTGCTTTATTTTCTTGACTTCAGGCTGTAGGAAAGAATTTCCACCTAAGAGGACCTTCGAAGGTCTGTACGGACTGCGAACAGTTCTTAACTGACGTTCAAGCAAAGCTCAATGACCCTAATGTTCAGAATACCATCGTCAATGCTGTAGAGAGTGTGTGCACGCTGTTTGGGCCAAGCGCTGACGAATGCAGATCCTACGTTGAGCAGTACGGTGATCTTGTCATTCAGTTTATCGTTTCATCCATCGACCCAGACACAGTTTGCAATGATCTAGGATTCTGTATGTCATCGGCTCGGCCCTCCATCCCGAAATTGATGAAGAAGAAAATTCAAGGACCTTCCAAAGTTTGTACCGACTGCGAACAGTTCTTAACTGACGTTCAAGCAAAGCTCAATGACCCTAATGTTCAGAATACCATCGTCAATGCTGTAGAGAGTGTGTGCACGCTGTTTGGGCCAAGTGCTGACGAATGCAGATCCTACGTTGAGCAGTACGGTGATCTTGTCATTCAGTTTATCGTTTCATCCATCGACCCAGACACAGTTTGCAATGATCTAGGATTCTGTATGTCATCGGCTCGGCCCTCCATCCCAAAATTGATGAAGAAAATTCAAGGACCTTCCAAAGTTTGTACCGACTGTGAACAGTTCTTAACTGACGTTCAAACAAAGCTCAACGACCCTAATGTTCAGAATACCATCGTCAATGCTATCGAGAACGTGTGCACATTGTTCGGGCAAAGTGCGGACGAATGCAGATCCTACTTTGAGCAGTATGGCGGTCTTGTTGTTCAGTTTATCGTTTCATCACTGGTGAGTGGATGGCAGGAAGAGAATGGGAAAAAAGTAGATGATAAATGATTTAAAACAAATTAGGAGTCAAATTTAATTTGGGGATAAAATCCTCAGTTCTTAAATTTACTTTCATAATAAGACCCAAAATACATGTATGTAATAATGCAAAAACATTGAGGTATAATGAATAAAACAGAGAGAGAGAGAGAGAGACAGAGAGAGACAGAGAGTGATGGTGAAACAGGGAAGAGGAGAGAGAGAGACAGAGAGAGGGATAGAGAGAGGGGAAAGGGAGGGAGGGAGAGAAACAAAAAAGAGAGAGAGAAAGGTGGAAGAATAGAAATATTGTTGATAAATAATGGAGGAAGACTATATGTATGTGATAGAATGCCAGAGCTAGGTTGAGATAGGAGTAGTAAAGAAGAAAGAAATGTTTGGTGCTTGGAGGACATTTTTGAAAATGGAATACATGTATGTCTTATTTCTTGGAGTATTTTTGATTCCAGACGTATCTGTTTAAAACCAGCATCACCAACATAAGCTGTGCTTTTAATTTTGAATAGAAAATATTTCAGTCTCTTGTATCTTGCATGCTAAATGTTCTATCCTTCTTTATGTGAACCCTACCAGGATCCAGATACAGTATGTAATGACATTGGTTTCTGCATGTCCGCTTCGATACTCAGACAGGCAAGTTTAGTGTTGCCATGGCGGTCCATCACTTAAACATCCTGTACATATCACACCTGGAGACATTTTTCATAATTATAATTCAGACATTATTGTATTTGATACATGTAATATTTTTATATTTCCTTTTTGTATTTACATGTACATGTACATTACATGTGTATATATGTATGTGTACAGTAATATACGTTTATGTTGAATTATTGATGTCTTTTTAATTTGAGAGTATGAGAGTGTGTGTGACATGTTTCTTTTGAGCTTTGTATACGTATACTCTCATGTACATGAGAAAGTGCTTTTCTTGCAAGCATTTAATATGTTTTTATTTGATACTTTTGAAGGGTATGGCCAAAAATGTTTTTAAGCAATGGGCAATTACATAATGATGATTACCTATTGCTAAAACATTTACATTGTAAAAATAGGTCTGATATTTTCAAGGGTACAATGTAATAAGATTTATTCTTGATAAGTTGAATTCCTGTGATTCATTTCATGTGTACATATCAGAATTTTATAATTTTTTTTCCTTCATTCTTATCAAGTATTACTTTTCTAAGATAAGTAGGCCCATTATGTATCAATCTCTCTCTCTCTCTCTCTTTCTCGCTCAGGATCACTTAACAAAAAATTTACCATTTTTTTTGTCAGAAGCTAAATTCCTTTACTGACATTTATTGTATGTATCATGTTCCAAAGACACTGTACTTGTATTAAAAAGGTCTGTTGCCTTCTCTGAAAGTTGACAAAGAAGAAGGAAAAGAGTTGTCAATCTGAAATATTCTTTTCTCAATGTAAAATCTGTTGTTTAAAGATAAGGTTGAGTACTTGGAAGTTGGAAGAGGTGAAAAATAATTTGTGAGCATTATTGTATTATGCAAGTGTGGAAGAGCATCAGATAAAAAATGCTCCCTGAAAAGCATGGCTCTTCAAATGCCTTAATAGCATCTAACATCATAAAAATTGGGACAAATTTTTATGCCACATGTTTGTGTACCGTAGTCCCATATACATCTGTCTGTTTACAGTGCGTGTAACTTTACCAAGACTGGGCCAAATGTCTTTATTTTTTTGATGATTTCAGAACGTTGCAGTACACACCATTACTTATATGCTAGATGATTAACCTTTTCTGATCGATTCCACAACATTTCTCTCACAATGCAATCGCATGACCAGAACTCAACTTTATCTTAAACTGTGATATAATCTGTAAAATCATTCTTCCCACAAGTAGATTACATGTATATTTTGATAAGATTTCATTCCTTCTCTTACAGAAGTTGGCCCTGACGGCAGACTCGTGCACAGACTGCAAGGCTTTCTTTGGAGACATTGACAGCATGCTCATGAACGTGACTGTTGAGGTGAGACAAGATTCTTTTCGTTTCATATATTTTCAATTCTGAAGACGTAATAAAGTCAGTAAACATTAAAACATACATCGAGAAATATAAAGTTAGATTAAGCACAACTAGTTCAATTCTGAATACATTATAAAGTCAGTATACTTTAAAACATATTAATGCCTTTAAATTGTTATTAATTTGTATGATATAATTATGGTTCATGCTTTTATCAATTTATTCTTAATTTAAAAAAAGAAGACATTTATACATATAATGAGAGGACAAAATAAAAGGAAGTGAGATCTTAGATCCATAGGCACATATGCTCATGTTATATGTTTAAATATTACCAACTCTTGTTCATGGATGGGAGAAATGTGGAATGTTAAGACTATTTTTGAAAATAATATATGTTTTTATCTTGATAAATTTCAGAACATGATCACTGCAGAGATACTCCAAGTTTGCAGTCAGTTTGGATCATTTGCTGACCAGTGTAAGAGCTATGTTAGCCAGTACGCACCCTTGGTATACTCCCTCTTAGCTTCAGAATTGGTACGTTTTGCGAAATAGTGCACACTCGACTTATTCTGTGATTTTTGTCATTGCTTGTTATTGTAATGCTTTTATTCTTTCACTCAGTCTCTCATTCTCTTTTATTACTCCCTCATTCTTACTTTCTCTTCTCTCTTTCATTGTATTCTATTTCACTGTTGATCTTTTCTTTCTGTTTCTCTCTCTTTTCACTTTTTTTATCATTTGCTCTCTCTTCCTCTCTCTTTGTATTATTTATATATAATTTATGGTCAGTCAGTTGCACATAAACAGTCAAAGGTGTAAAGGGAAACAGAAAATAATGCCAACTTGAGACAGGTGGCCTTCTGAAAGGATTCTGAAACCTGATGTCACATGTTCTACTAAAATTTGAACTTGGTGCTGGGCGTAGTTAAAAATCGTGTTTAACAGAGGAAGTACGTCCATGTTTTCCTTTGTTAAACGTGATCTTAGAATCACAGTTTGGTTTAAGTGTAATAATAAAATATGAACCATTGTTTTTTTTTGTAGAGGGAGACAATAACGGTGACAAGGATTATATAGAGAGTGTTCTCTCCTATGCATAAGACCCATTTGTCTATCCCTGTACGAGAAGAATGTATATATGTTGAGGTAATTATTTAATTATTTGTTGAAATATGACGTAAATAAAATTCACTTTGTTATCACTTTCACAGAATCCAGATCAGATCTGTTCCACCCTTACATTCTGCCCTGCCCAGATGGCATTGAAGGTCAAGGTATGATAACTCATGGTGTATTGAAAGATCTCTTTATCTCTCTCTCTGTCTCTCTCTCTGTCTCTCTCTCTCTACCTCTCTATCTCTCCTCTTCTGAATCATCCTCCCTTTCAATCTATCTTTTGTTTTGCACTCCTGGCCTCGCCTTCCCCTCTCTTTCTGACCACTACCTGTAGTCTTTTTTTCCTCTCTCACATTTTTATTTTCGTCTTGTATTGCCAAAGGATACATCTGTTTTGGCTATATATATTAAAAGAATACGAGCGAATTACCACATTCAAATATATCAGGATCATAGCTCTCAGTGATTACACCATTGAATAAAACTGATTATAGAGTAGGTCTTAAACAAAGCTCTCTTGTTTGATTAAATGTTAAATGTTTGGTAGATACCAAGAAAAATGAAACTTTCACAGATACTGGTCCGTCTACACACTGATCGTCATCTGTCTGGCTGACTCAACGTCTCTCAAATAAACGTGCAGGAGAAAAGTTTTTCCATCGGTTGCAGCAAAGTTGTAGAACTAACTACCCGCTATTGTGAAGACTGCTTCATCCGTTTAAATCAAGAAACTTCTGAAGTCCGATTTATTGTACCCCACCGGCAGTATGCTGCGTCATATTCTTGTGCACGCTCTAACTGCCACATTCCTTAACAGATTTCTTCCAAATTTTGTATGGAGATGTATCTTAGTATAATCTACACACCTGTAACTTTTGGTGATGCTGCCTCCAAGGTTCCGTCTTTTATAGGGTCAAAGCCCAGTGTAGGGGGGGGGGGGGACAGGGGGAAGTTGTCATGTTAGAGAAGAGAGCAGAGAGCTGTGTGATGTGGGTTCACGACACCCTTTTACCACAAGCTGATATATGAATACACCTGTGTGTAGGGGGGGGGGGGCAGGGGGAAGTTGTCATATTTGAGAAGAGAGCAGAGAGCTGTGTGATGTGGGTTCACGACACCCTTTTACCACAAGCTGATATATGAATACACCTGTGTGTAGGGGGGGGGGGGGGCAGGGGGAAGTTGTCATATTTGAGAAGAGGGCAGAGAGTTGTGTGATGTGGGTTCATGACACCCTTTTACCACCAGCTGATATATGATTACACATGTGTGTAGGGGGGGGGGGGGGCCTCATGTTAGAGAAGAGTGCAGAGAGCTGTGTGATGTGGGTGCATGTAAACCCTTTTACCACCAGCTGATATAAGATTACACCTGTGTGTAGGAGGGGGGGGGGGGGGTTGTCATCTTTGAGACGAGTGCAGAGAGCTGTTGGGTGTGGGTGCACGTACACCCTTTTACAACCAGCTGATATATGATTACACCTGTGTGTAGGGGGGAGGGGGGGGGGGGAGTGGGAGGAACGGCGAGGTTGTCATGCTTTAAAAGAATGCAGAGAGCTGTGTGATGTGGGTTCACAACACCCTTTTACCAGCAGCTGATATATGATAACACTTGTGTGTAGGGGGAGGGGGGGGGGGGGACAGGGGGAAGTTGTCATGTTTGAGAAGAGAGCAGAGAGTTGTGTGATGTGGGTTCATGACACCCTTTTACCACCAGCTGATATATGAATACACCTGTGTGTAGGGGGGGGGGGGGACAGGGGGAAGTTGTCATGTTAGAGAAGAGAGCAGAGAGCTGTGTGATGTGGGTTCACGACACCCTTTTACCACCAGCTGATATATGAATACACCTGTGTGTAGGGGGGGGGGGGATAGGGGGAAGTTGTCATGTCTGAAAAGAGTGCAGAGAGCTGTGTGATGTGGGTTCACAACACCCTTTTACCAGCAGCTGATATATGATTACACCTGTGTGTAGGGGGTGGGGTGGGGGCAGGGAGAGGTTGTCATGTTTGAAAAGAGTGCAGAGAGCTGTGTGATGTGGGTGCACGACACCCTTTTACCACCAGCTGATATATAATTATACCTGTGTGTGGGGGGGGGGGGTGGGAGGCAGGGCGAGGTTTTCATGTTTTAAAAGAGTGCAGAGAGCTGTGTGATGTGGGTTCACAACACCCTTTTACCACCAGCTGATATATGATTACACCTGTGTAGGGGGTGGGGTGGGGCAGGGAGAGGTTGTCATGTTTGAAAAGAGTGCAGAGAGCTGTGTGATGTGGGTTCACGAAACCCTTTTACCACCAGCTGATATATAATTACACTTGTTTGTAAGGGGGGGGGCGGAGGCAGGGCGAGGTTGTCATACTTTAAAAGAGTGCAGAGAGCTGTGTGATGTGGGTTCATGACACCCTTTTACCACCAGCTGATATATGATAACACCTTTGTGTAGGGGGGGGGGGGGGGAGGAGTGGGAGGAAGGGTGAGGTTGTAATGCTTTAAAAGAGTGCAGAGAGCTGTGTGATGTGGGTTCACGACACCCTTTTACCACCAGCTGATATATGATTACACCTGTGTGTAGGGGGTGGGGTGGGGCAGGGAGAGGTTGTCATGTTTGAAAAGAGTGCAGAGAGCTGTGTGATGTGGGTTCACGAAACCCTTTTACTACCAGCTGATATATGATAAACACCTGTTTGTAAGGGGGGGGGGGGGCGGAGGCAGGGCGAGGTTGTCATGCTTTAAAAAGGTGCAGAGAGCTGTGTGATGTGGGTTCACGACACCCTTTTACCACCAGCTGATATATGATAACACCTGTGTGTTGGGGGGGGGGTTGGAGGCAGGGCGGGGTTGTCATGTTTGGAAAAGAGTGCCGAGAGCTGTGTGATGTGGGTTCACGACACCCTTTTACCACCAGCTGATATATGATGACACCTGTGTGTAGGGGGGGGGGGGGAGGGGAGAGTGGGGAGGGCGAGGTTGTCATGTTTGAAAAGAGTGCAGAGAGCTGTGTGATGTGGGTTCACGACACCCTTTTACCACCAGCTGATATATGATAATACTTGTGTGTAGGGGGAGGGGGAGACAGGGGGAAGTTGTCATGTTTGAGAAGAGAGCAGAGAGTTGTGTGATGTGGGTTCATGACACCCTTTTACCACCAGCTGATATATGAATACACCTGTGTGTAGGGGGGGGGGGGGGACAGGGGGAAGTTGTCATGTTAGAGAAGAGAGCAGAGAGCTGTGTGATGTGGGTCACGACACCCTTTTACCACCAGCTGATATATGAATACACCTGTGTGTAGGGGGGGGGGGGGGATGCAGGGCGAGGTTGTCATGTTTGAAAAGAGTGCAGAGAGCTGTGTGATGTGGGTTCACGACACCCTTTTACCACCAGCTGATATATGATTACACCTGTGTGTAGGGGGGGGGGGAGGGGTGGGAGGCAGGGCGAGGTTGTCATGTTTGAAAGAGTGCAGAGAGCTGTGTGATGTGGTTATTGACACCCTTTTACCACCAATGATATATAATTACACCTGTGTGTAAGGGGGGGGGGGGACTGGGGCTAGTTGTCATGTTTGACAAGAGTGTAGAGAGCTGTGTGATGTGGGTGCATGTAAACCCTTTTACAACCAGCTGATATTTGATAACACTGTGTGTTGGGGTGGGGGGGGGGGGGGGGGAGGCAGGGCGAGGTTGTCATGTTTGGAAAGAGTGCAGAGAGCTGTGTGATGTGGGTTCACGACACCCTTTTACCACCAGCTGATATATGATGACATTTGTGTGTAGGGGGGGGGGGGGGAGGGGGAGTGGGAGGGCAAGGTCATGTTTTAAAAGAGTGCAGAGAGCTGTGTGATGTGGGTACACAAACCCTTTTACCACCAGCTAATATATGATAACACCTGTGTGTAGGGGGGGGGGAGGGGTGGGAGGCAGGGCGAGGTTGTCATGTTTGCAAAGAGTGCAGAGAGCTGTGTGATGTGGGTTCACGACACCCTTTTCCACCAGCTGATATATAATTACACCTGTGTGTAAGGGGGGGGGGGACTGGGGGACTGGGGCTAGTTGTCATGTTTGACAAGAGAGCAGAGAGCTGTGTGATGTGGGTGCACGACACCTTTTACCACCAGCTGATATATGATTATACCTGTGTGTAGGGGGGTGGGGGTGGGAGGCAGGGCGAGGTTGTCATGTTTTAAAAGAGTGCAGAGAGCTGTGTGATGTGGGTTCATGACACCCTTTTACCACCAGCTGATATATGAATACACCTGTGTGTAGGGGGGGGGGACAGGGGAAGTTGTCATGTTAGAGAAGAGAGCAGAGAGCTGTGTGATGTGGGTTCACGACACCCTTTTACCACCAGCTGATATATGAATACACCTGTGTGTAGGGGGGGGGGGGATAGGGGAAGTTGTCATGTTTGAAAAGAGTGCAGAGAGCTGTGTGATGTGGGTTCACAACACCCTTTTACCACCAGCTGATATATGATTACACCTGTGTGTAGGGGGTGGGGTGGGGGCAGGGAGAGGTTGTCATGTTTGAAAAGAGTGCAGAGAGCTGTGTGATGTGGGTGCACGACACCCTTTTACCACCAGCTGATATATAATTATACCTGTGTGTGTGGGGGGGGGGTGGGAGGCAGGGCGAGGTTTTCATGTTTTAAAAGAGTGCAGAGAGCTGTGTGATGTGGGTTCACAACACCCTTTTACCACCAGCTGATATATGATTACACCTGTGTAGGGGGTGGGTGGGGCAGGGAGAGGTTGTCATGTTTGAAAAGAGTGCAGAGAGCTGTGTGATGTGGGTTCACGAAACCCTTTTACCACCAGCTGATATATGATTACACCTGTTTGTAAGGGGGGGGGGGCGGAGGCAGGGAGAGGTTGTCATACTTTAAAAGAGTGCAGAGAGCTGTGTGATGTGGGTTCATGACACCCTTTTACCACCAGCTGATATATGATAACACCTTTGTGTAGGGGGGGGGGGGAGGAGTGGGAGGAAGGGTGAGGTTGTCATGCTTTAAAAGAGTGCAGAGAGCTGTGTGATGTGGGTTCACGACACCCTTTACCACCAGCTGATATATGATTACACCTGTGTGTAGGGGGTGGGGTGGGGCAGGGAGAGGTTGTCATGTTTGAAAAGAGTGCAGAGAGCTGTGTGATGTGGGTTCACGAAACCCTTTTACTACCAGCTGATATATGATAACACCTGTTTGTAAGGGGGGGGCGGAGGCAGGGCGAGGTTGTCATGCTTTAAAAAAGTGCAGAGAGCTGTGTGATGTGGGTTCACGACACCCTTTTACCACCAGCTGATATATGATAACACCTGTGTGTTGGGGGGGGGGGGGGTTGGAGGCAGGGCGGGGTTGTCATGTTGGAAAGAGTGCAGAGAGCTGTGTGATGTGGGTTCACGACACCCTTTTACCACCAGCTGATATATGATGACACCTGTGTGTAGGGGGGGGGGGGGGAGGGAGAGTGGGAGGGCGAGGTTGTCATGTTTGAAAAGAGTGCAGAGAGCTGTGTGATGTGGGTTCACGACACCCTTTTACCACCAGCTGATATATGATAACACTTGTGTGTAGGGGAGGGGGAGAGGGGGG